AAGGTTTCAGTTTTTATAATACTTTCTCCCAGTTATAAGTCTACTGAATTATATTAGTTTGGTTTAGACCAGCCGTGGGCAAACTACGGCCCGCGGGTCGGATCCGGCCCATTTGAAATGAATAAAACTAAAAAAAAAAAAAAAGACTGTACCCTTTTATGTAATGATGTTTACTTTGAATTTATATTAGTTCACACAAATACTCCATTCATGCTTTTGTCCCGGCCCTCCGGTCCAGTTTAAGAACCCATTGTGGCCCTCGAGTCAAAAAGTTTGCCCACCCCTGGTTTAGACAGTTGATATGAAATTTGGGCTCTAAATAAAAATAAGGTAACCTAATGTAATACTTTGGCCTCTAGGTAAAAAGTGGCAAGATTTTCTGAGTAGCTGAAAGCAGTTGAAGAAATAGGTGGATACATGCTGCCACCGTGTGGTAAAAGAAAACAACTGAAGTCATTTTGGAAAAAGATAATCCAGAAAAAGTGGCAAATTTGTTTTCCTAATCCCCAGTCTCAAAACTCAGAGACCCAGCTAACAAGATCTTAGTTTCTCTTAGTAAACCTCTATTGAATTGTGATAGTGGAGCAAATAAAATGGAATGAAAAATGCTAAGAAAATCACTTAAAATAGAGCCAGGAGGCCACTAAAGAGTGATGCCCATGCTTTGCTCAAAACATCCGGGAGCCATAAACATCCTGGAACAACTGCTCTATGGACTCTACTTCCTTCCTTGTAGTTTTCACCTCCTCCATTTGCATATTGGGATTAACCAATCTCTGTTAACATAACCAGCAATCCTTCATTTGTATGAAAAAATTACCTTTTGCGATTTTGCCTTTATAAACCCTGACTGTCGTTGTTCTCCCCAGAGTAGTTGCAACCTAGGTTTGCATCTCTGGGATTGAAATCCTTTTATTCAGATAAATGCTTCTGACTCTGTATGACAGCCTAAACTTTTTTTTCGGTTGACAGCTGTCATTATCAGGTAATTTTTCAGGCAACTTTATTTGTTGGCTATTGTGCCCTCTTTTAAGTTTCTATTAATTTATACTTGTTCTATGAAATAGTAGTAGTACCTTCTTATATTTGTCTTGAGTTTATCCTCTTGCAAGTCAATCCTTACCTTATCTGTACTGTAATTTTTATGAACTTCTATTGCTTTTTTACAGCTGTTTTTTTTCCTTTGCAGTTGTCACCTTTCACCATACTATGTGATATACTTATTTACACTTTGTTTCCCTGCACTCCTTTTAAAATATAAACTCCACGAGAGCAGAGATCATAGTCTTGTTCACTGATGTATCCCAAGCAGCTAGAATAATGCTTGCCACATCCTATATAATAAAGAACTAATATGCAAATGGTCATCACACCCTTGCGCCCTCATGCCGGGACCAGGGGACCTGAGGCCGTGCCCCCCGCCCCAGCGCCAGGGCTGGGGGACCTGAGGCCGGGCTGGGAGACCTGAGGCTGCGCCCCTTGCCCCGAGGACCTGAGGCTGCGCTGGGGGACCTGAGGCCGCACCCCCCACACGGCGGGGCTTGACGGGGGACCTGAGGCTGTGCCCCCACCCGGCGCCAGGCTAGCGGACCTGAGGCTGCTCCCCCTGCCCTGCAGGCTTGACAGGGGTGGGGCCAGCCAGGTCTGGGTCTCGTGTGATTGAGGCGCGCGTGGGTGGGCGGGGACTTGACTCTGGGTCCCACGGCATGCCCCAGACTCTGACAGGAGGGAGATTTTCATATACATTTTACTAATTTTCTTTCATCTCTGACACTTCTATTATAGCGAAAGGGCAAATAGCAATATTAAAATATTTCCTCTAATTAATTCCCTTTCAATGTGCACAAATTTTGTGCGCTGGGCCACTAAATGTATAATAACTATTTAATGAATGATTTTCATTCTCATAATAATGACCATGTGAGGCAGGTGTTATATATTATCATCCCAATTTTACAGATGGGGAAGTTTTAAGGTTTGGGGACAAGGAGAGTAGAGAAGACTAAATTTTTTGTTTTTTTAATCTAAGGTCATCATGCCATTGTCAAGTTGCAACAATGAAACTGGAATGAATATCTTTTAATTCTCCAAATATTATAGCAGTAATTTAATAAAATCAACACAACGTATAATTAAGCTAAAATTCTTTTAGTATTAAATATTAATATTTATTGTTCATTATATCCTTATAAAAAAGTGTTCACTCGAGAGACCTTAATTTTAAAATAATTATTTTTTCTCAGTGTTGGGCAAGTTGACCTGTACTAGGCCTTGACAGAGCATAAGAACCAAACTTTAGGGGTGGCTTTAATATAAAAATAATTCTATTGTGTCTAAGTCATATTCCCTGAATTTCTAAGACCTTTTATTAAGTAGATAAGATAGTACTTAATTATTTTTTTCTAATTGTGATTCAATTCTGTTTATATTATTATTAAACTAGAGGCCCGGTGCATGAAAATTCATGCACTGGAGGGAGGGTCCTTCAGCCTGGCCTGCCCCCTCTCACAGTCCGGGAGCCCTCAGGGGTGGGAGGCAACCAGGCCATCAGGGGAAGGCGACGCCCCATCACACCTCTGCTGCTGCCACTGCCAGCAGCCAAGCCTCGGCTGGCCCTGGTTACCTGAGCCTCGGGCGGCCCTGGGCGGCTGGACAGCTACCAGCTGGGGGGCTGAGGGGACTGGGGGTCACCAGAAGCAGGCACGTGAAGCTGTGGGCGCCACCATCTTTGAGGGTGTGGCAGTCAATTAGCATATTCCCTCCTTATTGGCTGTGGGCACCACCATCTTTGCGACGGCATGAGGGTCAATTAGCATATTCCCTCTTTATTAGATAGGATTTAGGAAAAGGATTACATTTATAGTTGAGAGGTGATAAACCTTTAACAAACATGCACAAAGAAGTCTGATGGTTAATTTTACGTGTGCTCTGACTAGGCCACAGTACCCAAATATTTGGTCAAACATTATTTTAGATGTTTCTGTGAGGTATTCTGTAATGAGATTAACATTTAAATCAGCAGACTCTGAGTAAAGCAGATTATCCTCCATAATGTGGTGGGCCTAACCCAATCAGCTGAGGGCCTTACTAGAATAAAGACTGACCTCCCGAGCAAGAAGGAATTCTGTCAGCAGACTGTTTTTGGATTTGAACTACAACGTTTCCCTGAATCGCCACCCTGCCAGCCTATCCTGTCAGATTCTGTACTTGGCAAGCCTCCATAATAATGGTGAAACCACTTCCCTTAAAATCAGGATCTATCTATATCTATATCTATATCTATATCATCTATATCTATATCTATATCTATATCTATATCTATATCTATCCTGCTAGGTGTTTTCCCTGAAGAACCCTGGACTATACAGGGTTCACAAACAAAACTGCTCCTAAGTTCAGGAGTTATTTGTGCATTAAAACACTCAGGAACACTAAGTGTTAATAATATTTTCTTTCCTTGTCAATAAAATACTAAGTGTTAGCAAAGTTAAAACAAACTAAAATCTGGGATACAATGTTATTAATGACCTTAAGAGTAGAGAGACTTGCTTCACCACAAAGTAAAAAAAAAAAAAAGACATCACATGCTAACGATAATTCTAGAATTTAAGCCTTTTTGTGTGTGTGTGGCCCCAGGAATCCTTTGTTCAAGAGAAACCACTTTTAGAATCCCCAAATGTTAAAGTAATTAAAAAAGAGATCTGATATAAAAAAGAATAGAAAACTCCTCCAGCTTTTTAAAACTAAAAAGTTCTTCAGTTATGCTGAGGTACCACAAGGTGTTGCAGAACCAAGTATGAAAGTTTGTCTAACTTGTCTTGTCTCTAATAAATCCTGTACTGCAAATACCACCACCATCCTGGACATTTTACAGAAACAATAGAGATTAAAAGATTTGTCTAAGGCTATAATATTAGTTAGCCAAACTGAGGCCTTCTAATTTTGTTCATTATTACTTTGACTATACAAGCAAATTTTTTAAAAAAGTAAAAGCTATCTTCTAAATATACAAAATAGTTTACTGCACAATGTGGCAGATTAGCAGAAGGAAAACAACAACAATAATATATAGAACCTTATAGTCGTGTTCACATAGGCACATCTGCCTCTCAGGCATTGCTCCTGAGGACTTCATCACTCCTATAAGAGGAGGAAGCTAAGACTTTATTTTGTCTGTAATATTGGCTCAATATTAATGACATAAGTCTATTCTGTCCAGCACTAATAGTGCAGCAAATTACAGCATCAAAATGTAAATTAAATTATAGCTATTTACTTATGAATAATAGATCTTTGGTAAAAGCTGTCCTCGAAGTAAAACACAAAATAAATATTTATATGCAACTTTGCTAAAAATCACATTTTTACTTTGAAACAGAAACACTGGCAATTCAATGAAATAAATAAACAGTATTATTTTTTCCATTTGACAGTGTAGGAAACATTAAATAACTTGTTCAAGGTCACACAGAAAATGAGAGTGCCAAGATCTCATCCAAGGTTCTAACTCTAATCTACTAAAATTTGAACTCTCAAAGGGCAAACCCTTCTCTTTTGGGTTCATTGCTGCCAGCACCGAGCACAGCACCATGCTCATCACTGGGGCCAATGCTGGTATCAGTGCACATGCTCTGAACAAGTATTAGGAGAGCTAACTATATTTGATGAAGAGGCAAAGTGACCAATAAGTGGATAGTAGCTCCTTTCGTATATCACAAACAAGGCTAATCTATAATGAAGAACTGAGAATTAAATGAGTTTACAACAAAATGTTCAACCATGATTACAGGTCAATATCATTGACTTATCTTGTCAATCATTAAGATGACTACTTCTTAATGATTTAACTTCCTCCCACCATTTATGAAGAATCACAACAGTCAGCATCCCCATGTCCTATTTTTCTATCATTGACTTTTACATTTCTATCATAAATTTTGAGGAATTCCTTACAGAAAAACTTGGCGCCTCTTGCCACCAGTGATCAAAATCATACAAACCTCTGTCAGTTGTTTCAGTTGGCTTTTGTTTTCAGTTAATTCTTCTGATAGGTAATTCTTTTTCACTTGTAGTTCGGAGATTTCCTTCTTTAATGGATCCATTAGTTCATAGAACCGAATCTTTAAAAAAATTAAATAAGCAGGTTTTAAACCCAAATTAAAATTAAAATGTGCTAATTTACAGTACTTTCAATCCTTAGTAATAAAAGTAAAATATTAAAGTCATAAAAGAAAAGTGTTAAGGAGTTTCAGATTAAGAGCCTGTATAAAAAAATTTTATTTGTACAAAACTAAAATAAGACAGTTGTTAATTGACCTGACTACTAATACTTGAAATCTCAATGTTCAATTCAGTTCTAATCTTATGTTACTACTTACTCCTCATCTCCTATCACTCCTCACTCTACAGCAAGCATGTCAAACTCAAAGGCTAACACAGGCCAAATAAACGAGGCATGTGGCCCGCAGGCCACAAGTTTGACATGCTTGCTCTACACCAGCAGTCATTAACCTTTCGAACCTCACGGACCACCGGTTGGCGATTGCTGCTACACAATATGCTTGTTATTTCCTGAACACATCAAGTATTCAAGACTTTTGCTCTTGCTGTTTCCTCTGACAAAAAAGTTTTGTTTTCCCCACATATAAATGCAAGACTCATGCTTTCCCTCCATTCAGGGCTCTGATCAAATGTCACCCTATCAGTAAAGCTCTCCCTGGTTCCCCCAACGTGATTTCAAATAGTATGACCATCTGGCGGCCTTCCCTAATCTTCACTCTTGCTCTTTTCTCTATAGCATGTAGACAAACATTCCAAATATTTTACTTTTAATTTATTGCCTGTGTTGCTCCACTAACATGTAAGCTCCACGAGGGCAGACATGTTTGTCTGCTTTGGATATTGCTCTATCTCCAATGCCTAAATATATGATAAGCCCACATCTAGGTTCTTAGTGAAGCTCTATGTACTGCTACCACTGCAATATAAGGGACAATCACAATGAATTGGAAGGTATCTTACAGATCACTACTTCCATTCAGTTCAGACCTCTCTTCCCACTCATAATTCTCTTAGGAGAATTTGCCTGACATCAATTATGAATAAGGCCTCAAGAACAGCACTTAAGATATTTGTTTTGGACAGTACATGTTGGGCAGAAACATTATATTTAAGTTGTTTCAATAAAAAGCTGGACAAAAAAGTAATACATTTTGTAGGAAATCATGAATCTAGAAGCCTTATCCAAATGAGAACCAAGAGTAGCAATCACCACTACAGCAAAATAATAGGTAATATTTTATTGTTTACTATGTTCTAAGGACTAAGCTAAGCATTTTACATAATCACAGTTAATCTCCATAATTACCTCAATAGAAAGGCGTTATTATTATAATTAACCCTTTTATAAATGAAAAAATTCAAGCCAATTACAGTGAAATGACATCTATCATCTATCTATCTATCTATCTATCTATCTATCTATCTATCTATCTATCTATCTATCATAAACCAGTAGTTCTCAATGTGTAGTCTGGGGACCGCTGCCCTTACCCCACCATTCTGAGAACCTTTCAGGGAATTTATAAGATCAAACCTATTTTCCTAGTAACACTAAAATTTTTTGCCAGTTTTGCTCTCATTCTCATGCTTGTTCAATGGCATCTGCCAGTGGCTACATGATGTGTGAAGATATCAACGTCCTTATGGCTAACGTGTGCTTATATAGTCTTGTGTTTTGAAAATGTCTCTTTTAATTTCTAATATGGTAAATATTAACAGGTATAACCCATATAAACAAAAGCTCATTGGTGTACTCAGTAATTTTTAGAGTGTATGGGATGCTGACACCAAAACATTGAAACTATTGCCATAGATCAATCCTACGTGTAGATTTGCGTAACCAACGCTACAGTCAAAATCCAGAATTAGATCCACAAAGCTCTCCCTCATTCGACCCCTTTATAATCACACGAATTCCCCTCTTCTCTACTATCCCTAACCCCCAAAACCACTTGTAACTGTTATGTCTATAATTTTTCATGCTGAGAATGTTACAAACCACCAGTTTATGATAAAATAATTCATTTCTATAGACGATGCAGCTGTTAACTTCAGAGCTCTATTTATTGCTTGCCTTTGGAGATCAATGATCAAGACCCTTAAAATTTGGTGATCTGAAAAGAACACCATTCACCATCTTCAGATCAGGGCCATAAAATAATTGGGTACTTCAGAAGTTATGGCTAACATAAATGGCAAATGTTAGTCTGAAAACACGTGGTTTTGTTTTGTTTTTTAATGATATAAGACACTTACAGATACATATTCAGGAATAGAGAGCTGATCTTCAGGAAAACCTTTTAGTTTCATATATTGTTCTTCTGTCAATTCAAAGTCACGCAGGTTTCGACGAATATCTCCAGCTTTCTCTCTTAGCTGAAGATTTGTCTCTTCTAGTTGTTTCTGTCTCAATAAAATAGTTTCCATTTCTTGTTTCATCAGTTCTTGATATTTTCTATTGAGATAATTTGTGGCAAGCTTAAAAAACTCAAGATTTACTTTTTATAGTGACATAAGATTAGAAAATGAGAAGCTCAAATAGTACATTTGGTTCTAGCTGGAATCTTATTTACTTAATCAGTTAAACATAAAATGACAATTCTGTATCAATTACTAAATGTGCAGCCACATTGCCGAGAGGAGATGGAGTGGAATGAGGTGTACGGAGGATAAATGGTGATGGACAGAGACCTGACTTAGAGTGGCGAACACACAATACAGCATACAGATAATGTGTTGTAGAATTGTGCACCTGAAACCTGTATAATTTTGTTAACCAGTGTCACCCTAAGACATTCAATAAAAAGGAAAAAAAAATGTGTAGCCACATAAATGATTAAATAGAGAGTTAATATTCTAATTTCAGTCTTGGCCAGTGTGGCTCAGTTGGTTAGTGTCATCCCATGCACGGAAGGGTCACAGGTTCGATCCCTAGTCAGGGCGCTTACTCAAGGCAACAAATCAATGTTTCTCTCTCACATTGATGTTTCTCTTTCTTTCTCCCTCTCCCTTCCTCTCTCTCTCTCAGAAATTTTTTTCAACAAAAACATTTTTTAAAAAAGAATAATTTCAAAAATTTAAATAAAACTATACATCTTTTCTGCTTAAGGTTTAAGTCTTATATCTCGGTTTTGAATCCTACTCATTAAAGTATAGTCAAATCTCGGTTCTCGAAAGTTTTCTATCTCAAATAATTCAGTTCTGGACCAAGCTGTTCCTGGAAAAAATGTCTCCGCTGTTGAACAAAACTTTGGTTCTGCAACTGACAACCCTACATGATACATCAGCATGACAAAAAGTGTCTCAGGCTACAAAGGAGATAATTCGGATCAGTTTACTGCTAAACCTCATGTTGTTAACATCTCAGGAAATTATGCTGTAAATATTTTTGTGGGGTTTTTCTTTGCTCTTATTGCTGGGAAATTGGACGATTAGCACAATTTTAAAAGATAAAGAGGCCATCAAGAGTGCTAATGTTGTAAAGTTTCTTTCACAAATGATCACAGGCAACTGAAGAGGTAGAAAAATTGTTGTTAATAAACAAAAAGCAGTTAGCTAGAGACATTTTGGAGGCAGTGATATATGAACAAGCAAACGTGCTGCATGCTGACCTGAAACAAGAGCTGAAAGTGATTCATTTAAGGCTACTAGCGGGTGGTTTGATAAATTTAAGAAGTGTTTACAGGTTAAACAGTACATTACACATATACGTATATAAGAAAGGTTAAAACAGGGAAACATTTCGGGGTCTGAAATGAATTCATTCAATTTACATGATTTCTAATGGGAAGAAATTATTCTATTTTGAATTGCTTCTTGAACAGTTTTTCAAAATGAGTTAAGTTTGAGAACTGACGTTCCAAAGTAATTTTCATTTCTCTTTGTCCAGGTACTAAAAGGTATACCTCTTTAAGATGGTAACACGGAACGACCATAAGATAATACTTCAAACATTATGAGGTAATGAAAACAGTAATCTGCACATAATCATCATTCTCAAAGAATACATGTAGTAGACACTGCTACTGTTAGTTGCCTACCCAAAGATTTTGAGCAGGAAGGGACCATCTGATTTGTTTCTCTCCCTGATATGTCACTCCCATCAACTTCAAATATGCTGTTATTTCTGTCTTAAAACAAATGAACAAAAAATCCCCACAACTTTTGACCTCATTTCAATGCCCTCTTTGTTTGCTCCCTCATGGAAAAAAACTTCTCAAAAGTTGTCTATGCTCACTGCCTCTGATGCTTCTCTTTTTCTTTTCTTGACATACTAAAATCACAGATTATTTTATTAAGTTCATATTTTGGAAAAATTCAAAACTACATTTTGTACTACTTTTCATTTTAAGCATAAAATTATAACTTGCACATAAGAGCAGGCCACTGGTTATTATTTTCCATACTGTATTTTTAAAATATATTTTTATTGATTTCAGAGAGAGGAAAGGAGGAGAGAGAAATAGAAACATCAATAATGAGAGAAAATCACTGTTTGGCTGCCTCCTCCATGCCCCACATTGGGGATTGAGCCCGCAACCCGGGCATGTGCCCTGACCGGGAATTAAACTGTGACCTCCTGGTTCATAGGTCAATGCTCAACCACTGAGCCACGCTGGCTAGGCTGTATTTTTTCTTTAAAAAAAAATTTTTTTTATTTTTCAATTACAGTTGACATTGAGTACTATATTAGTTTCAGGTGTACAACATAGTGATTAGACATTTGTATAACTTATGGAGTGATCATCCTGGTAAGTCTAGTAGCCAACTTATGCCATACATGCTTATTACAATACTAGAGGCCCGGTGCAAAAAATTTGTGCACTCGGGGGGGAAGGGGGAGGTCCCTCAGCCCGGCCTGTGCCCTCTCGCAGTCTGGGACCGCTCAGGAGATAACGACTTGCTGGCTTAGGCCTGCTCCTGGGTGGCAGAGGGCAGGCCCAATCCCTAGGTGCAGCCCCTGGTCGGGCTCAGAGCAGGGCCGATTGGGGAGTTGGGGCGCCGCCCCCTGTCATGCACAGAGCAAGGAGGATTGGGAGGTTGCGATGCCACCCTCAGTCACGCTCAGGGTAGGGCCGATTGGGGGGTTGGGGCACCGCCCCCTGTCACACTCAAGGCAGGGTCGATGGGGAGGTTGCGGCGCCACCCCGTCACGCACAGAGCAGGGCCCATCAGGGGGGTTGGGGCTCCGTACCCTGTCATGCACAGAGCAGGGCCCATCATGGGGTTGGGACGCTGCCCCCTGTCACTCACAGAGCAGGGCCCATCAGGGGGGTTGGGGCTCCATACCCTGTCATGCACAGAGCAGGGCCCATCAGGGGGTTGGGGAGCTCCCCCTGTCACTCACAGAGTAGGGCCGATAGGGGAGTTAGGGCACCGCCCCCTGTCACACACAGAGCAGGGCGGATCAGGGGGTTGGGGCGCCACCCTCTATCACCCACAGAGCAGGTCCGATCAGGGGGTTGGGGCGCCGCCACTGTCACACTCAGGGCAGGGCCAATGGGGAGGTTATGGCTCTACCCCATCACACACAGAGCAGGGCCCGTGGGAGGGGGGGGTTGGGGCGCTGCCCTCTATCACCCACAGAGCAGGGCCGATCAGGGGGTTGGGGCGCCGCCACTCTCACACTCAGGGCAGGGCCGATGGGGAGGTTATGGCTCTACCCTGTCACACACAGAGCAGGGCCTGTGGAGGGGGGGGGGGGGTTGGGGCACCGCACCCTGTCACACACAGAGTCGCAGGGCGATCAGGGGGTTTGGGCGCTGCCCCCTGTCACGCTGATCCGGTGCCAGGAGGCCCTGAGGCTCCGCTGATCCCGGTGCTGGGAGGCATATTACCCTTTTACTATATAGGATAGCAGCCTGGGGGCCAGCTGGTTTGCCCTGAAGGGTGTCCTGGATCAGGGTGGGGGTCCCCACTGGGGTGCCTGGCCAGTCTGGGTGAGGGGCTGAGGGCTGCTTTCAGGCTGGTGGTTGTTGACTGAAGCTCCCAACCGCTCCTTTTTTTTTTCTCTTTTTTTTTTAATTCTGGGCCAGCTTTAGCTCTGGCTCTAGCTCTGAGGCTTCCGCTGGTTTGTTTGCGTTCTATAATTGAAACAATGTATAACTCCAGCTCTGAGATCCCGGGGTTTTGTTTAGCTTCTATATTTGTTACAAAGTTTCTTAGAGTTGCAGCTCAGAGGCCGGCAGCGCAGGCGGGGAACGTTGGAGTCCTCCTTCACTGCAGCAAGCAAGCCTCATGTTCGCTTCCAGCTGCCTGGCTGCCGGCCGCCATCTTGGCTGACAGTTAATTTGCATATACTCACTGATTAGCCAATGAAAAGGGTAGCGGTCGTACGCCAATTACCATGTTTCTCTTTTATTAGTGTAGATACATAATACATTTTATATGAAC